AGAGAGAGAGAGAGAGAGAGAGAGAGAGAGAGAATGAGTGGGTATTGGGGTATGTTTGTTAACGACAGCATGTGTGTATGTTTGTGTATGTGTGTGTGTGTATTGTGTGTGTGTGTGTGCGTGTGTTTGTGTATGTGTGTGTGTGTGTGTGTGTTTGTGAGTGTGTGTGTGCGTGTGTTTGCGTGGTTTCTCCGCTTAAAGCATACTATAAAGCCTAAGACAACAGGACCCACTCGAAGCTCAATGGTTTCAATTAATTATTCACCTGCGGGGAAATGTGCTTAATGAGAGATCCCCGGCTGCAAACACAGGGGAGTGGGGGCTACAGGATGATAAGCTGGTCGGTTTCCTGGAGAGAGATTAGTGCTGGCTTGTACCGAGTTCTTATACGATGGATGCTTTTATTGGGATAATCAGAGTTTCTGCAGTCTCTTATGTCGATGTTATTGTTGTTGCTGTTGTTATGTGATGATGAGAATGATGATGATGATGATGATGATGATGATGATGATGATGATGATGATGATGATGATGATGATGATGATTGTGATGGCTTTGTTGTTAATTTTTTGCTGCTGAAATTTGCCTGCCAACCTTCTATTATCCTTTATCTTTCCGTTGTTGTTTTCCCGTACCCTTCCCCACCCCACCCCCTTTTTTATCTCCTCTTTCACATTTTCTTCTTTGTTTTCAACTCACTCTTTCTTTTCACGTCCTTCTCATTATCAATAACTTTGCCATCATTATCATCATTATCATATAGACAATGTAAAAATATGTATCGTAAAGAAGACTACCTAAAGATGTTCAAACAGTTTGGTGAAAAGCCGAATGGAACAACAATTCTGATTTTTAACGGCTCTACGTTTCACATTAAACACTTCCTCTGGAGCAACTGAGGAAAACTAAAGGGAGTACTTCATTATACATTAGTTGTCAGGCGAGCCAGTTCTAGCACATTCCGTTATAACGACATTGAAGCAATGAAATTACTACTCACTGTGACTAAAATATCAGTTGCAAATATTGATTTTTGTTGGTGTCCACGGGGAGACGAGGGTTGATCAGAGTGATGGAAGTTGACGTATCGCCGTTAAACTTTTGACTTCTGTCATGAAAGCAATGCACATAATTAATATATAAAATGACTGCTCCGGAACCAAACAGGTGACGCCACTTTTAGCTGTTTTATGAAGTCACACACAAATAATGGTACGCCTTCCCTGGTTTAAGGGGATTTATAGATTGCTTACAGAGAATCTGTCCGTTCTTATAACTCAGGAAGTTTACCTTGGGTAAGAGGATCTGATAAAGGGAAAGATTGATTACCCAAACGAGAGAGGATACAGATCGCTCTTTTTGCGAGCAGGATTTCAAAGTGCTAGTAGAAAGAGGCTTTTTACAGTCTTTTTAAATTGAAGTTATCCCCTTGGGTTTGATAGTATGCCACATACCACTATGGCTTCTTCTTACTATCCTCAAAAGACACTACTCCAATTGAAAAAAAGCCTTTGATGAGCTGAGAGTAAAGATCTGATTCCCCCTTCCCCTTGCACAATGCCTCTCCCTGAAGCAAGAGCCACAACTCTGTGCATGCAAGAGCAAGGGATCCAAGTTTTGCCTACTGTCCCGACTTAGTTATGTCTGTAATAAGAAAACAATACATGATGCAATCTTGATTTTTAAAAAGCTTTAAAATTTTTTAAAATAAAAACTGTTATCGTCGGCGGGCTTTTTTTTGCGTCCGTCCAGAGGACTGTCTGCCGCCCACTGATGAGGAACTTCTAGTTTGTAAACTTTTTGAAAATTAAGTCTTAAAGTAAAAATAATATTTAATTCTGAACATGCGTAAAAAAGTTAACAAAATGACTCGCGAATGACTCTTTTTCTTGTTGGATTTTGAAGATCTCAAAAAGTATTTTTCGCTGAGATAGCATCATGTGTCATTTTCTTATCACAAAGAGGACGGACATCTGTCAGTTTTACCTGAACGAGTATTGTCCCTTTAAGGCTCGTGCGGCGAGCAGTGCCCTTAATATATGGGGGCTCCAGACACTAAATGAGTAGTGAGTTCAGACTCAAAAGCAATGTCAAGCAAACGTGGTCACAGGAGTGTGTCCTTGTGCAAGACACGACAACCATAGCTAAAAAATAGGGACATTACATAGTGGCGACCAGCAATGGTATGTTTTCGAAACTGTAAGTATTTACGTATGTATTTACGCGCGTATGTAATTATGTATGTATTGATGTATGTATGTGTTTATAATTATGTATTTATGTATGTATGCTTGCTATTGTAACCCAATTATTTTACAAGGATCCAGAAAATGTAATTTATTTTATGACATTGTTGGAAGCGTGTTTGCAGCCGTTGACAAGAAAAAGAGAGCAAACAAAGTTTTGTCTGACCAGGTGATCATGCATCTCAGTAAAACAATACAGTATGCCATGAAATAAAGGAGCAACTGTGACGCTATTTATGAGCTGGTGGGCGGTAAAGTCCGCCACAAAAATGATTTTTTCTTCAATCATGATAATGTGTTAATTGCTCACTCATGTAGCTAGGCTACGTTGAGAGCTTAGGTCAACGAAGCGGAATTGAGCTGGGACATGAAAGGACTACTGAGGTTGAAAGCACTGGAGTGGCAGGGTTGACGGTGTGGGTGGTGTTTATGGTAAAAAAGATTTCTATCTGCTATACTCTTTATTTTTACAAGAAAAAGTCTCGTTTTGGGAGGTGTGAACAGGAATCTGAAGCGGAAAAGGACCGGTGGGGAGAATTCATCAGAATCAAAGAGTTGTTAGGAACACTCAAGAATTATGATCAGGCAAATTACAAGACCTGTATTGTGAAATCTATTAGCTAAATCACCCAGATGTCTGCTTAACGGTTTCTTCAATGTTCTCTCTTCAGTTTGGTGACGTCAGTAGCCTATTGGCTAGGCAAGTGGACCCGTAATTGTGAGATTTCGGTTTGGGGTTCGAGACTCAGCTCGGTCCGACGTTGTGTCCTTGGGAAAGGCACTTTACACGAATTTACCATTTGGCTCGGTCCTTTCGAGAATGGACGTTAAACTCCAAGGTCCCTCCTTTTAATTAACCTTATAGCATTGATAGGAGTGTTTAACCGATACCATTTATTTCACTATTTTTTTCTCTTCAGTTTGCGCACTTTTGCATTCTGGGGCGGTGGCTTTGATTGACATGTCCACTCCAAGTCTGTCGCCCCTGCTTAGGTCTACCTGTTCATCCATGGGGCTGACCTACATTTCTGTTGTGGACAGGTCTTACTTCAACCATCCTATAGAGAGGTACGGAACCCCCATCACCCCTCCCCCACCCCCA